ACGCTTTCCACTTGGTTTTCTCTTATTTCCTGTAATGATTTCTCTTTATTTCCCGGAACTCTAAATAGTGGAGCACTCCCAGTGTCTTAGCCTGTTTGGGCTGATATAATAAAGATGTCAAAGACTGGGTGACTTATAAACAGCAGAAATTCATTCCTCACGATTGTGGGGGCTGAGAAGTCCCAGATCAAGGCACTAGCAGAGTCAGTGCCTGGTGAGAGCCTGCTTCCTGGTTCACAGACGGCCGTCTACTTGCGTGTCCTCACACAGTGGAAAGGGCGAGGGAGCTCTCTGGGCTGTCTTTTATAAGGGCACGAACCCCATTCATGAGGCTTCCACTCCCATGACCTAATCACCTCTCAAAGATCCCACCTTCCCATGCCATCACTTTGGGGTTTAGGATTTCAACATAGGAGTTTTGTCTGTGTGTAGGGGTAGGGGCAAGGGGAGACACATATATTTAGTCCATAGCACCCAGAGTACAAGCCTCATGTCTTTTTTCTTCCCAGCTACGTTCACACAGTAGGTGTTCTCCTTCCATTTCAAGGCTGTTAATATCATCCAAATACCCACACTGACTTCTAAACGCATAACCCCAATCCGAACCTCTTCTGAACTCCAGTCTTATACATCCAATGGCCTATTGACATTTCCTTTCAGATATCTAAGAGACATCTCAAGATGTCTCCAAGTGAACTTTTGATTTTCCCTACCCCCACCGTTTCTAGTCCACCTTCCATCTTCCCCATCTCAATTATGGGCAACTCTAAACCTTGAAATCCATCTCGAGTTCTTTTTTCTCACACATCCAGTTAATTAGAAAGTCTTGTTGTTTTACCTTCAAAACAAATCCAGAGTTTGCCCAACTTCCTCCATGTCTTTTGCTACCACCTGATGTGATCCATCATTATCTCGTCCCTGAGTCAGTCGCATGGCCTCTTAACCGCTCTTTGTGCTCCTCCTTTTCCCTCTACAGCAGCCCAAGGCATCTTGTAAATCCTAAGTCAATTCTTGTCACTCCTGCACTCAACCCCCCCCCCCCACACCCACCCAATGACTTCTTAATGTGCTCAAGGTAAAAATCCAAAGTCTTCCTTGTGGTCTCTAAGGGCCTTCATGACCTTCCCTTCCCCTGTCCATCACCACTCTGTTTGTTCACACACTACAGTCACAACAAACACTTGGCTTCCTCTTGAGCTCTCTCAGCATACTCCTACTTATTCCCAATTGACGGTCTTTCGTATTACTGTCTCCTTGGCCCGGAATGTTCTTCTTCCAGATACCGATTTCATTCAGATTCTTAATGCCTTCCTTAAAATCTTCTTGGTGGAGGCCATTCTTGACCGTCTTATATAAAACAGGAACCCTCCCCTGTTGATCACTTCCAGTCCTCCTTAGCCTGTTTATTGTCTCCACTGCTCTTATCACTGTCTTACATATTATATATTTACTTGTTTATTCTCTTCCCCCCTGCTCAAGCCATGGCATATGCAAACACAAGGAAAGAGTCTCTGATTATTTTATTTGTTGCTATATCCCCGATGCCTGGACACAGAAGGCAGTCAATAAATACTTGTTGAATGATTACATGAAGTATTCTGTTTTTGCTAGGGCAGTAGCGCTCAAGGTTTCCCTAATCTATTCCATCCCTGATTTCCTCCTCTCTTTGGGAACAATGGGCACACTATTCTTTAATTGAGACTTAATGTTTAAGGCAGAATGACAGAGAGGGACTGGTGCCCACATGGTTCAGGAATAACCCAGGACCAATGTTGTAATGACAACATCTGCAGCTGCTGGCATGACTGCTCAGAGACTGCCATGCCTGGGCACTCAGTGGGCTACTAACTTCTCATTATTAGGCATCTCCAATTTCCAATTCCATAGGATCTCCACCAAGTGTTAAATTATGCCTTAAGTAAGGCATATGTGAATTTGATTCTGCTTAGTGGCTTGGCTAACTAATTCTTTTCCTTCTTCTGAACCTCATTACTTCATCCCAGTTTCCCATTTCATAGGGATTGGATCCCGGGCAAGTAGTAGACTCTTTCAGTGTTTCCCCATCTATCGACCCAGGATAATAATAGTACCTACCTAATAGGTTTTTGTGAAGATTAAATGAAGTAATGCTGACACAGTGTTCAGCACAGTGCTCTGTACATAATTAGTGTGAAATACTTTTTTTTCTGTTCTTAGCTATTACTCAATACCTGTATTTTACATGTTTTTATAGTCTTCCTTCAGTGGTAGTATATTTGCATCTGCCACTTCAGAGATATTTTGGAGTCTCTGCAGTGATTCACAGCTCTGCTCTCTATAGTGGGTATATCAGGAAAGGGAGTTGACATTTTTTTTTTTTTTTAATCACTACCAACCATTGTCACCAAGAACATTTGTTACTTTTTCCCAATGAGCAGAGGAAAGTTGAGTAAGATGAACTCTTCCCTCTACTCTAAGGAAATACCAGCCTTTGGAGGGATTTTGTAAATTCTGGGAAAAGTAGGAAGAACTTGGTGTTGGAATAGTAGCAGGATGTGTGTTTGTGCTGAGTCATTTTGAAAACTTATTGAACTTGAAGACATGAATTGATAGTTGCACCAGTGGGTACAGTTTGGTGACTCTTTTCAACAGCACTTGGAGACAAAAAGCAGAGAAAACCAGCAGTTAGGGTAAAACAAGGTTAGAGTTTAATGAGGAAGCCTTGTTGAAGGCACTGGTGAGAGATTATTTAAGGAGAGGAATCATAGGATATGGCTGGGCAAAAAAGGAGGTAAAGTCAGAGAGATGCTTATAGATTATGAGACAACCAACAATGGAGAGATCAGAAGATAGGCAGTCCTTACTAGGCTGAGGACCCAAGTATTGGGTACAAAGGGGTGAAAGGGCTGGGATTTTGGTGGGATTTTAGAGTTGCAAGATTTCAGGCTTGGATGACTCTGGATGACAGATATTTCTGGTCATGGTCTTGAAGAGTAGGAAGGAAATGAAAGTAATGGGAAAGCCATCAGAGTTGAAGAGGTTAAGAAACTGTGAGTCTAGAATGTTCCATGGGTCCTCACTGACATTATTGGGACTCAGAAGTTCCCAGAGTGTTTAGGCTGAGAGACAGAGCTCTTCTCCAGGACATGGAAGCCAGGAGTGAGCCAGCCCTTCAGATGAGCCCCTGCTTGCTACTAAAAGGATAAAATGAAGAGGAAGAAGAGTAGGAAGTGGAGGAGGGAGACTGAGGGAAGGAGAAGAGAAAGAAAGGAAAAGAAACAAAAGGAGTTCTGGTTCAAAGTGGTTCTTTAATGCCCTTGCAATTACACTTCTGCTAGATCATCATGCCATTTCACCAGACAGGCCTGTCATATCTGAGTTTCTTTTGCACTTAAGTTATGCTCTTCCTACTTGATATTTATGTCACAGGAGAAGAGGCTCAGAGCACTTTTATGACTGGCCCATGATGACATAACATGTTATGTTACAGGACGGGGGGTTAAAGGTTGCCGATGGAGTTAAGGTCGCTAATGGGCTAATGGCCTAATTGTAAGATCAAGAGATTATTCTGGATGATCTGAGTGGGCCCAATGTCATCACAAGAGTCTTTATAAAGGGAAAAGGGAGGGAAAAGAGATAGTGTCATGATGATGCCATATAGGAGACTCACTGGCCATTGCTGACTTTGAAAACCAGGGGCCGAGGGCAAGGGACTGAGGAGTGTGGGTAACCCCTTAGAAGATGAAAAAAGCAGGAAAACAACGCTTCCCTACAGCCTCCAGAAAGGAATGCAGCTTTGTCCACACCTGGATTTTAGTCCAGGTAGACCCATCTCAGACTTGTGACCTCCAGAGCTGTATGATACTAAATCTATGCTGTTTTAAGTCACCAGCTTTATGGGAATGTCTAATGCCGATAATAGAAACTAGTTCATACCCCTGGAAATACGGTGGCACGTATGTATCCAGTCCGAAGGATTCCGACCCACCCCAAGCCTGAGGGGACCACCTTGCCCTTGGATCACTGCTTTACTGGGGCTGCCCAGGCCTGCACAGGGTTGAACGAGTGGCCTTCCTGCACGCCTCATTGGCTGGAAGGCATGGAGGACCAGTATGGGGCCAAATTCTTCCTGAATGGAGTAAGGAAGCCTGTTTCAGCCCAGAGGTGTGAAATCTTGGCTGGATTATCCAGTCAATTCTCAGGATGCTTGGCAAAGCTCCCTGGTTTGCAATGTTCTCTCAGTAATGGAAAGCTCCAGCCCCGTGGTTGCCTCCTCCACGAGCAGCCTGGGCAGGAGAATTGGAGAAATACCTTCGCATGTTCTTGGGCCTACTTCCTCCACTGTCTTGGTTTGCTTGTGGGCGAGTGGGGTGGGCTAGGAAAGGTGGGGTAATAGAAGTAGAAAGGCACCAGGGGGACCAGCAGACCCAGCGCGGCTCATAATCATTTGGTCTCATCACCTCTTGGCGGCCACGAAGAGACTTGTTCAGGGTTGAACCAGAAGACTAGCTCAGGCCTTTTCCCTCTGCAGGACTTGGCCAAGAGAGAAACTGCCCATTTCTTTTTAAAATGCAAATCCTATCTCGCCTTGGAAGAGAGTCCCAGAGAAGACTGAGGGGTCTCCATAGAGCGATGTTAGGAAAAGTTCGGAACTGGGAGGAGAAAGGCAGCCAAGGGGGCAGCACTGAGCCGGGGCGTGGAGGAGTGGGGACCTCCTTGCCCCACCTCTGCGCTCAGCACTTTCGGCCTGTATTTTGGCCAGGAAGGGCTGGCCTGGGGGCCTCTCTTTCCGCAGTCCCGCCCAGGGTGGCTCTCCCGGGTCTCCCCTATTTGGCCGGCTCAGCAGGGCTCTGGGCGGGGCCGGAGGAGCGTGGGGGTGGGAGGCCGGAGGAAGATGCGCGGAGCTGGCTGCGAGGCCCGGCGGCGCTGAAGGCAGAGGGGTGGGGATCTTGGGTGGGCTGCCCCCCTCCCGCTCTGACCCGATCCACACCCCGCGGAAAGCAGGCGCTGCCAGTTGAATCATTCCCCTTTCAGGAGGGAAGGGGGATAAAGGTAACTAACCCCTTTCTGCGTCAGAAAGCAAAGGGAGATCTTGGGCAGCTTTGCAGCCGCTCCGTCCCACTCCTGGACCATGCACCTCTGCATCTTTCTGCTCGGCCACAGGCGAGGACTTGATTTCTTGAGCTGAGAGCTAAACTTTGTTGACTTTTCTTCTCCCCAACAACTGAATCATGCCATGTGCCCAGAGGAGCTGGCTTGCAAACCTCTCCGTTGTAGCCTACCTCCTTAACTTTGGGGCCCTTTGCTATGGGAGCCAAGCTCAGCCAGGCCCTGTGCACTTCCCGGACAGAAGGCAAGGTTAGTGGCTTTTCTTTATTTCCTTTAAAAACCGTGGTGGGGAGACGCGTGGAAAGTTGGTTGCTCCCCCTCCCCCACTGGCTGAACTCTGCAAAACCGTTTGGCTGAGTCGTAAGGAAATCTGGGCTGGGAGCTCAGTACCATAGGGTGTCTCAGAATTCAGTGTTGAGTGATGATTCCTTAATTCTTACCGAAAGGTTGTGAATCCCGTCTCTTACACACTATGCTGAGGCAGAAAAGACCCAAGTGGTAACTGGTAACGCCCCCCCCTTTTGTCTTCTCTTTGAATGCTGCACTGTTTCAGTCCTCTATTTTTCAAGTTCTGAATACAGAAAATGATTTTTTTTTTTTTTTTTTTTTTTAAGTTCCAACTGGCCACTGGGGGTGTTTCTAGTTAGTTTCAGCTCTGGACAGGGGAGGGGAAATGTGATTCCGGCCCCCTGCTGAGTGAGTTTGGCTGTGTTTTGGTTTCCTGGAAAGATTTAGGGCTGTGTTTTAAAAATAACAGTTCTTTTGGGGGGAAATTGACCACTGTAGGGGCTCACCTTTCCCCACCTTGCCTTCTGATGGCATCTGGCTGCATCTCCTTGTGAATGTCATGAAGCATACAGTGCTGTTGAAAACGCTGGAGGGGGTGTGAGGACAACTTGCCCTTTAAACCTAACAGCTGGAGCAGAGGGCACTGCTGCCTCTGCTTTTTTATTGGACTTGGGAGGGTCAGAGACACTCCTGTGTTTTGTGGGGAGTTCCATGTGCTTCTGGGAGAAGATAGAGCTGCAGCAATGGCCCACGTGGCTGGAGAAAGTTCCATGCACCAAGACTGCTGAGGCACTCTGCCTGTGTCAGCTCAGCAACCACTGTCCACAGCCTTCTGGGGTGCAGGGACCATTGTTACTGTCTCTGTTTTAAAGCTGGGGAAGCATGATGAGTTCATGGGCCCAGTTCATGGTGGAGTGAGGTTTTGAACCCAGGTAGCCTTGCTCCAGAGGCTGGCCTCTTAGCAATAATAAGGTAGGGACAACACACACACACAGACACACAGACACACAAATGCACAGACACACCCACACACCCACAGCACTGCTTTAGCAGACATTAAGTCCAGTGTTTTGCTGACTGTGCTCAAGCGTTGAGAAGCTTGACTAGCATTCTGACCCTCTTAATTCCCAAGACCACTTGGGTGGCAGAGATCACGAGCCTGTCTTTGTTGAGGCTTTCCACACAGGGTTCTGCCTACGTTGCAAAGTTCCAACACCGCTGAGAGCTCATCTACTGTGACTTCAAGAACCATCAAGAGCAAGTCCCTTTTGCTTTCCTTGGACGCTGGAGCTGAGAACCCGGGTTAGATGTCAGCCAGCCAGCACTTGCTTGTGTAAACGTTCCAGATACCATCTCCCACCCCCAAGTTTAAAATAGCAGTGTTTGTTTTTCTTTGAAAAACAGTCCCTTTGTGAAAAGTCTCTCTTCTGACAGCACAGACAGAGCCTGTGAGCACTTCCCAGGGCATTTGGAGATGACCTGGTTCAAAGGCACACATTCTTGTGGGTTGGTTGCTTTTTAGGTCTCCTTGCTCCACATCTTTGTAAGTGAATTCAGCTTAGTGTGGAGCAGACTCCCCTGGGCCTTGCTCTCTCCTTTCTGGAAGGTGAGAGATGGTTCTTTTGCTTGGTCACCGCTGGGGTTACAGTGCTGAAATTATTTGATATTGACAAAGAGCTGTAGAGTGCTCCGAGTTTACCAGCGATGCTCAGCTATTTAGGTTTTAAAAAGAATTTTCGTTCCTAAAAGTCTTTTCTCCACAATATTTGTTCTTAATAAACTTACCAGTGGATTTACAAGTAATCCACCTTTGGTCCAACAGAGAAATTTCTGAGCAGGCTTCCTTTAGAACCGAGTGGAGAGAGAAAGAAAACAACTGAGAGAAAGACAGAGAGATGGAGAGAAGGGACGAGAAAATTCTAGGGCTTCTTGGGACTAAGATGACCTGAATTTTGCCCCAAATGGCCAGCCCATCATTTCACAAAGAACCAATGTCCCTAGATTTCCGTTTCTACTCTGACATTTTTTAATTGCACCCAAATGCTGCATGTTTAAACTTGTGAAAGACTTCAGATATCATCTCTGCCATCCTTATTTTTCCGGAGGTGGAGTGAGGGGCCTGGGAGGTGAGTCTGTTAGTCAGCATGAATTCAGGGAGCACCTAGGAAGTGCTACTTCAGCCCACGGGTGGAGGGGAGTGCACAGGGTCCCATGGTTGGAGACATTCTGATCCTGCATAATCCTTAACATTCTTTCTAGTTCTATGGGGCAGAGAGCAGAGGCAGGCTTTTAGCCCTGGGAAGAACACAGAGGTACATTCAATCTTTTCTCGGACCAGAAAAGGCAGATTTGACACTCTTGCCAGTATTCTTTCCACAGCGCTCGCCTGTGATACCAAAACATGCAGGGACTTCCCCAAGCTTTCCTGGTTCCCAATCAAGTATCAGAACAATGGGAAACATCAGTCTTGTGCACAACATACTGCCTTTCTGCCACAGCCATGATAGCCCCTGGGGTTCCTTATTCCTTGTACTGTCGGCAAGTCACCGGCTATTTCCCTGATCTCCGTGATCCCCAGATGGGAAATCAACAGTGCCGGCATTTCATCCCAGCGTAGAGATGTGCTTTCAGCTGCTCAGGTTTCTGCAAGAACAGAGGGAGTGTTTCCAGACAGAAGTTTCGAGTGCACTTCAACACAAATGGTCTAATCATGTATTTCTGCTATTGGGGAAAAAAAAAAAAGGATGGAAATGATCTCATTTATTTTCTTTATGTAAGGAGACACTTCACAGTTTTGGTATTTTATTTGCGTCTGTTATCCTAAGCAATGATGGTCTGGAGGTTAGTGGTCGTAGGGTTGGTGAGCCAATCCGAAATCCTGGGGCCTGTGGTACAACATGGGGGACCGATACGATACTCCACATCCTGACACGTGTAGTTTTCTACGATAAAAATGTATTTGAAAAGTTGCAACATCCCATGGAAGAGAATTCTGAAAATGAACTTCTGACTCTTAGAGAATTTCATTGCCCTTTTTAGTGAAGAGTCTTAGAAATTTACTGCTCTCTAAGAGAGAAATACACCATATCAAGAGTTAAATATAGATTTAACCTAAACTATAAAATCTGGCAGGTAAAATATTCTCTCAGCTCTCTCCTTTCTTCCTAAGCAGAGGGTAAAAGATCACCTGGTGTTGTGAATTTTCAAAAGCACTTGTGCTGGGGCGCCTGGGTGGCTCAGTGGGTTAAAGCCTCTGCCTTTGGCTCGGGTCATGGTCTCAGAGTCTGGGATCGAGCCCCGCATCCGGCTCTCTGCTCAGCCAGGAGCCTGCTTCCCTCCTCCTCTCTCTCTGCCTGCCTCTCTGCCTGCTTGTGATCTCTGTCAAATAAATAAATAAAATCTTTAAAAAAAAAAAAAAAAAGCACTTGTGCCAGCAGGCTTCACTCAAAGTTTCCCATGAGGTATCGTCAGTGTTTGTGACTGAGGGTTTGGAGGCTAATTTTAAAGAAGGCAAATCAAGGTATTCAGGGCTGATAATGTATTTCCATAAAGGGGCAGACTGTGATGGGATTACAGTGTGCCTCAGTTCCCCCCCCCCCACAGCCTTGTTGATGCGCCATCTTGATGTCTGGTTCTCAGCAGTAGACCCTTGAGAAGCCGCAAGGGCAGCCGTTAGAAGGGTGGGCTCCAGGGTCAGATCACCCCAGAATGAATCCTCACCCCTCTTCGTTGTCTTTTTACCAGGATGGGAATGAGGGCTAAGCTGAGGGACATGGTTACTAATATCTGTCCCAGAGAACAGTACGGATTAGACAAAAACCAGGTTAGTATACTCTAAATGCTGGGCTTGACCACAGAAATGGTAACAATTATTTCCTGATTTGTGCTTTCCCCATTCCTGTCATATCCCCTCTGAGCTCAGCTTTCTGTTGACCAAGGTTATAGCTACCTCATCTTCCAAACTAAATACGCACTGAGAGGAAGCCAAGGTGAGCGTGGGCTTCTCCCCTGTCTCTGCTTGGAGGTTATCTCTTTATGGTGCAGTGATCCTTGATGGCCAAGTTTCTGTCATAGCCACTGAGTGCTCTTGGTCAAGCACTGTTCGACCTCTATTACATTTATAAATAACACGGGATTCTCACAGCCACCTGGGAGGTAGAAACTCATATTGTGACGCCTTTGTATAGATAAGGCAACAGAAGGTGGGCTACCGACAACTAAGTCAGACTCCTGTGGCCTCCTATTTCTGTCCACACCTATGGGCTGACACGGCTTGCTGCTTTGTTTGCAATCAAATTAAGAGGCAAAACTAGTCTTAACCTCTTGTTACTCTACCTGCTAAACAGGCTATTGTTATCTCTCTTTATTGCTGAGCAAAAGCCTCTTAAAGAAGTTATGCCACCCTCTTCTTGTCAGATTATCTCCCTAGGGCAGTGGTGTAGCTTCTGATCTGTTACACTCTCTGCCAAGTGCAGCGGCTTCTGTACGTGAAGGGCAGTGGCTAGGAAGATCGTTTTGAAATAGGAAGCATGGGATTTCAGTATAAGGGATGCTGCTTGTTGGCTCTGGGGCCTCTCTTAGGCTCGGTGTCTTTATCTATGAAATGGGAATTCCCTGATCTGTGGCACAGGTTGCGATGACCGAGTGAGAAGGGACTGATGGTCCCTGGCTCCTCGCAAGTTCTTGTTAAATGGTGACTGTGGTTGTTACCGTCGTGTTATTGTTGAGCCAATTTACGCTGCTTCTCTTCCAAACCCATTAGATGAGAAGCAACTGGGTCAAGAGGTCTAAATTTGTTTGCTTTTTTGTTCTTTGAGGAGTAGGTGCTGGGGCTTAGGCAAGCTTTAGCTTTCATTTTATACTTTCAAAAATCGTGTTTAATTCTTTGAGATGCAACTACAGAGACAGGCCCTGTAAGGCACAGAGGAGCGTTCCCTGAGAGCATCTGGGCAGTGACCACGCACAGCTGGGCCCACTGCAAGGTGATGGCTATCCACTTGAGTAAGGCTTTTCTGCCCGTAACTTCCATCCACTGCTCACCCTGGAGAAGCCAGAGACATCACTGTGAGTAGTAGAATTAAAGAGTAACCTGAGAAGAATACCAGGGAAGCCAATTGTATCCACCCTGTTCTGACCCATCCTCCCCTTTCCTCTCCTGAGCTCTGAACTTGGAAGGTCAGTGAAACTCTGATACTAAATATATAGATATTCCTTGGGGAGTAGGCAGTATGGAGACCTAGTCCATTTGACTCCGAGTTCATGGCAAGTTAGTGTCACTGATTCAGGCAAAACCCTTTTCTTTTATTTTTTTCTCTGCACTTTTGTCCCTACACCCATTCCTCCTCATGGAAAATCATTTTAATGGGTTCCATATGTATTTTTCATTTACATATGTTCTGGCTGACTTTGTATTATTGTTTTGGTGTGCATGTATTTTCCATTGATGTCAGTGGCTCTGTTTTAACTTGTTTTGTTTCTTCTTTTTCACTCAACATTGTTTTTAAAGATTTATCCATGTTGCTGTGTGATCTCTTGCCACGAACTGCTGCAATCAGAAGCAATAGTTCTGGATTTTTTTTTGCGCTTAAAAAACTGAGACTGTTCGTTAGTACCTAAGAGTGAAAACTCTGTGCTCGGCCCCAAATTTCATCCAAGGCAGAAACGAACGATTTCACGAAGTGTGTTGGAAGGCAGTTATCTGGGAAAAGAGGATGTTTTATAAATGTACCCCCATTAAGTCCGGTTCTTTTAATTAACCAGCTACAGATGTGCTCACTGATTGACACATTACACGCCAGGCACCTGTGACGTGCAAGATTCTGGCCCCCAGAGGCTTCGGGAATAAAGTCTCATTAACAAAAAGCACGGTAAAATGAGGTATTCTGGGAGGTACGGAAAGTAAGGACCTGAGAGAACTTCAGCCAGGAACATTAGGAGAAAGAAGGGGGGTTGGAGTTGGGACTTTCAAACCTAAGTGAGAATAGATGGGCTGTCAGTGCAACAGACAGGATAGCGGGAAGTAACAGACAAAACAGCAGAAGCTGGAAGGCGGAATATAGCTGGGAGGCGGGAGGTGGCCCTTGTTTTCTCCTCTCTCTCTCTTGCTTCTTCCCTGGCTGCTTTTCTTTTTTTTCCCCCTTAATGCAAGTGTTGGTTATTTTACTAAGTGGCTCACGGTTTGCCTGAAGTAGTCTGTAATCCCGAGTGATGATTCGCTCCTGTTAGATTCCTTGTTCTTCTCAAACATCAGGCTGAGGAGGAAGGGGTGGGAATTTAAGTGTGAGCAAGCCAAAAGGCGTGTGTATGTTCTCGCGTGTGGAAGGGACAAGGGTTCCTGTCTTGCGTTTTTAAAGCGGTAGTTTTCATCTTGCCATTTTATTTTGTATACTTTGTAAACACAGAAAGAAAATCCGAGTTTGTTTTTTTAAGGACCTGTTTCACGGCACGGAACGCGAATGCCATGACTGGTGTGAAGTTTGTTGGCGTGTATACGACCGACCGGTTAGCTGTTTTTATTATTCCTCGGACCCAAGTTAATGGGAAGTTCCCGAGGCATTTAAGCTCCTTCAAATAAACAGTGGAGCTCTGTGATTTGTATTCAAGAACTCTTGAGGCTTGCAACATTCCTTACGCTGACCTTGCCCCTTTGCTAACAGGACACCTCATGAATGAATTCATCTTAATTTGACTCTGGGAAAACATCTGCCCTCCAGAGTTGTGCCTGGGTGTCGGCTCAGACTGCCACGTGTCCTCAAGGAGGGGCCCTGAGTGGATTTGAGTTGTTCCGGGAATTTACTGTTGACAGTGTTTGTGCAGTAGATGGGACCTGCAGACTTCAGGCCAACGGTGGTATTTTGCCCTCAACACGCTAAGTTCCAAATGGCGGAGCGTTGACCTTGCTGTTGACTCTGCCGAGAGTGCTCGCTGTCTCATTCTTTGTCTTCTCTTCTTTCAGAGCATTTTCTCAAGGCCCTGCCCGAATACCACATGGTGGCCCCAGTCCGAGTAGATGCCAGGGGGCACTTTCTGTCCTATGGCTTGCACCATCCTGTCACCGGCAACAGCAGGAGGAAGAGAGATGTGGATGGCTCAGAGGACCGGGTGTACTACAGAATTTCACACGAGGAGAAGGACCTGTTCTTTAACTTGTCGGTCAATCAGGGATTTCTTTCCAAAAGCTATATCCTGGAGAGGAGGTACGGGAACCTTTCCCACGTGAAGATGGTGGCTTCCTCAGCACCCCCCTGCCATCTCAGGGGCACAGTGCTGCAACAGGGTGTCAGGATCGGGACCGCCGCCCTCAGTGCCTGCCAGGGACTGGTGAGTGCCTGGGTCCCTCCCTCCCTTCTCTGCCCCCCGGCCCCTGTCCTCTCGGCTTACACACCCAGTACCCATGGGTTCACACACACCTCCAGTGGGTGCAAACTGAGCACTTGTGATGTGCGTGGTCCTGGCCACCAAATGGGTTGGGGAAGAAATGCATAAAAGAAAAAGCTGACCGATCTGGGAGATATGGAGAGGAAAGGCGCTGAGGACTCAGAGCAGGGAGAACTTCAACCAGGGACCGCATGGGAGCAAGGGAGGAGTGGAGCTGGGTCTTCAGCCTCTGAGGCCTTTCAGGGTGTTGTGCCTGACTGGCTGGCCAGCCCCTTTTGAATTTGGAAAACCTGGATTTGGACTGAGTGAGAGGCTCACTGGTGATGACGGTGTTGTCAACAGCTTTTGCGGTCTATAGTTGACTGTGTGGACTTCGTCATCAGACTTCATACAGAAACTTAGGCGGTCAGTTTATCCCTTCGTGCCTTCGTTTTCTTATCTATGAGATGGAGATAGTGACAGTACCCATCTCATATACCAGGGCTTGGCTTACGGTCCGCAGACCAAATCTGTACACCTCTTGTTTTTATAAATAAAGTTTTATTGGAACACAGATAAGCCCACATGTTTACATTGTCTAAGGTTGCTTTCGGACTACAACAGCAGATGAGTAGTTGGGATCAGGACTATATGGCCCATGAGGCCCCAAAATTGCTATCTGGCTTTTATAGAAAAAAAATTTGCTGATCCCTATAGAATATTGTGGAAATTAAATGAATTAATATATATAAACACCTTAGAAGAGTGCTTATAAACAATACGCACTCAATGGGTGTTGGCTGCTATTATCATCTTTTTATGTTTCCAACATACCAGGTACTAAAATGTGTGGCATATGAGGTAGTTTCAATACGTTCTTCTCTTCTGCTCTCCAGCCCCCCATCTTGGTTATATTGAGTAGATGATGAAGCTTGGAGATGTTGAATAAATTTACTGCACAGTTCATTTGAGCCCGAGTCTTTCTACCAGTTGCACTCTGATCCCCTCATCTTCCCTAGTTTTGGGGAACCATGAATCTACTTTCTGTCTCTGTTATCTGCCTATTTGAAACCTTTGTTTTAATGAGTCCTCCAGGAGATTCTGGTGCTCACTGAAGTCTAACAGGCACCGGACTACAATAGTCACTCATAACCCTGTTTGAATATTAGGATCCACGGGGAGTTTTTTTAAAAATTTAAAAAATTTTTTATTATGTTATGTTAGTCACCATACAATACGTCATTAGTTTTTGATGTAGTTTTCTAGGATTCATTGTTTACGTATAACACTCAGTGCTCCATGCAGTATGTGCCCTCCTCAATACCCACCACTGGGCTAACCCACCCCCCTACCCCCTCCTCTCCAAAACCCTCAGTTTGTTTCTTGGAGTCCACAGTCTCATGGTTTGTCTCCCCCTCTGATTCCCCCCCTTCATTTTTCCCTTCCTTCTCCTAATGTTCTCCATGCTGTTCCTTATGTTCCACAAGTAAGTGAAACTATATGATAATTGACTTTCTTGGCTTGACTTATTTTACTCAGCATAATCTCTTCCAGTCCCGTCCATGTTGATGCAAAAGTTGGGTATTCATCCTTTCTGATGGCTGCATAATATTCCATTGTATATATGGACCACATCTTCTTTATCCATTCATCTGTTGAAGGGCATTTCGGCACTTTTCACAGTTTGGCTATTGTGGACATTGCTGCTATGAACACTGGGGTGCATGTGGCCCATCTGTTCACTACATCTGTGTCTTTGGGGTAAATACCCAGTAGTGCAATTGCAGAGTATAGGGTAGCTCTATTTTTAATTTTTTTGAGGAATCTCCACACTGTTTTCCAAAGTGGCTGCAGCAACTTGCATTCCCACCAACAGTTTAAGAGGGTTCCCCTTTCTCTATGTTCTCTCCAACATTTGCTATTTCCTGCCTTTTTAATCTTTGCCATTCTAACTGGTGTAAGGTGGTATCTCAATGTGGTTTTGATTTGAATCTCCCTGATGGCTAGTGATGATGAACATTTTTTCATGTGTCTGTTAGCCGTTTGTATGTCTTCATTGGAGAAGTGTCTGTTCATGTCTTCTGCCCATTTTTTGATGGATTTATCTGATGGATAATCAGATGATGATTATCCATTTTGTGTGTGTTGAGTTTGAGGAGATCTTTATAGATCTTGACTATCAGCCCTTTGTCTGTAGTGTCATTTGCAAATATCTTCTCCCATTCCGTGGGTTGCCTCTTTATTTTGTTGACTGTTTCCTTTGCTGTGCGGAAGCTTTTGATCTTGATGAAGTCCCAAAAGTTCATTTTCGCTTTTGTATCCTTTGCCTTTGGAGACATGTCTTGAAAGAAGTTGCTATGGCCGATGTTTAAGAGGTTACAGCCTACGTTCTCCTCTAGGATTTTGATGGATTTCTGTCTCACATTGAGGTCTTTCATCCATTTTGAGTTTATCTTTGTGTATGGTGTAAGAGAACGGTTGAGTTTCATTCTTCTGTATTTAACTGTCCCATTTTCCCAGCACCATTTATTGAAGAAACTGTCTTTTTCCCACTGGATATTTTTTCCTGCTTTGTTGAAGCAATCAGACAACAAAAAGAAATGAAAGGTATTCAAATTAGCAAAGAAGAAGTCAAACTCTCTTTCTTCACAGATGACATGATACTTTATGTGGAAAACCCAAAAGACTCAACCACCAAATTTCTAGCACTCATACAGCAATTCAGTAATGTGGCAGAAGACAAAATCAATGCACAGAAATCAGTTGCTTTCTTATACACTAACAATGAAACCGTAGAAAGGGAAATTAAAGAATCGATTCCATTTACAATAGCACCAAAACCCGTAAGATACCTTGGAATAAACCTAACCAAAGAGGTAAATGATCTATACTCGAGCAACTACAGAACACTCGTGAAAGAAATTGAAGAAGACAGAAAAAGATGGAAAAACATTTCATGCTCATGGATTGGAAGAATAAACATTGTTAAATTGTGTACGCTGCCCAGAGCAATCTATACTTTCAACGCCATCCCGATCAAAATACCAACAGCATTTTTCAAAGTGCTGGCACAAACAATCCTAAAATTTGTATGGAACCAGAAGAGACCCAGAATCACCAAGGAAATGTTGAAAAAGAGAAACAATGCTAGGGGCATCACGTTGCTTGATTTCAAGCTTTACTACAAAGCTGTGATCACCAAGACAGCATGGTACTGGTACAAAAACAGACACACAGACCAGTGGAACGGAGGAGAGAGCCCAGATATGGATCCGCAACTCTATGGTCAAATACTGTTCGACAAAACAAGAAAAAATATACAGTGGAAAAAAGCCAGTCTCTTCAGTAAATGATGCTGGGGGGCTTTTCAAAAGTACCCATTGCCCACCTGTCCTCCCCGATGTTCTGATTTGATGGGTCTGAGAGGGGAGCTCAGACATCTGTAATTCTTTAAAGCTCCCTAGGAAACTCTAACACGCAGTCAGTGTTGCTGGCCAATGGATTGGCGTGAGTGGGGATTAATTAACAGCATTAGCTAATATGACTCTACAGTAGCAGCTCTCTCCTGTAATGCTAGTGTGCAGCCAGGGTTGAGAACCGCAGTTCTCAGTTGGCCCCTCTTTTCACCCTGTGTTTTGTAAGGGAGGTTGCACACTGTTTAGCATTATTCCAGGCTCAGAAACAGAATATTGGGATCTTTTCAATTTCACATGGCCCCAGGGAGCCATGAAGACAACCATCTGGGCGTTTTCATTTTCAGATTCCAGATTCATACTGAGTACACGGGCACAAAGAAGCAAATATGAACTAATGGACTAATGTGGTAGCCAAGATGATGGAAAATTTTAGATTCAAACTGCTGAATGATTTTTTTGCCAGAAGAGCCAGTCCACTTGCATTGCCTTGGAGCCCTTCACCCAGAATTGAGCAGTTAATGGACAGTTATAAAATAGGCACTAAAATCCAAATGACTTTCTTTTCCTTTCTGTGAGCATACAAGCTGGCCAGCTTCAAGTTCATTTGTGATTAAGGCCCAGTGCTCCTGGGTGGCTCAGTGGGTTAAAGCCTCAGCCTTTGGCTCGGGTCATGGTCTCAGGGTCCTGGAATCGAGCCCTGCATCGGGCTCTCTGCTCAGCTGGGAGCCTGCTTCCTCCCTTCTCTCTTTCTGCCTGCCTCTCTGCCTACTGCGATCTATCAAATAAATAAATAAAATCTTAAAAAAAAAAAGACCCAGTGCCCCTCATCAAAAGGATAGTGATTGGACTTGTGTCTGATTTCTCCTGATCATTTATCTGGGAATTTGACTTCTGTGACACTTATTTTCCTTTCATCCAAACATGACCCTATACTCAAATCCACAGGATTTGAGCTTAGGATATATTCAGTTTTAAGCCCCCCACCCCCCAAACCTAAGGACAGAAGTGGCATTTGGGAAGGCTTTCTGAGGCTTATTTTTGTGAGTCTATTTCTGAGTTTTATGTTCTATTCCACCAGTAGAATCTTTATTACTGTAGTAGCTATATAATTAGTCTGGAAATCAAGTAGACTGATTCCTACCATGTTACATTTTTTCAAACCTGCTTTAGTAATTCTTGTTCCTTTGCCTTTCCCTGTACATTTTAGAATAATCGGACCACAAAAATTTGCTGAGATTTCGGTAGGAATTACATTAAGCCTATATATATATAGATTTGGGGAATTAACATGTGTTATTTTTAGTCCAATCCATGAACACAGTAGGTCTCTTCCAATTCTTCTCATGAAACTTATCCAGGTTGACTGGTGGGACTGAAAACGTCCAAAATGCTAGGTTGTCCCTCCTTCCCAAGGTGAGAATTTTGCAGCTCCATGGGCCCTCCCTTCTAAATCTCACTCTGATGGCATTTCTCACCAGGAAATCTCCCAGCCATTAAGTGGGCTGTCCTTACCAAGGGCAGGCCCATACCACCTGTCAGGTAGTTAGTGTGATTAGAGAATGAGGCTGTTAAGTGGAATCAGTAATTGCCTTGTATTTTTTTTTTTTTTTTCCTAATTCACTTTTCCGGATCAGAGAATTTATTTGGGGAAAACTTAGTGAAAACTTTTTTGCAAATTTGTTCCCTTGGTTTGTTCACTCATATTTATGCTTGAAGTATTCTATTTTGGAGAGTTTTCTGATTCTAAATTAGTCTGGTAGAATGATAATAATTTCTTCTGCGCGGAGCCTCACTGTCTCCCCTGCTGCTCAAAGATGGCAGCTGGTGGGATGACGGCATTTTATTCCCGGGGAGACTTAGCTCATCGATTCAGAGTAGATTTGGAGAAGAGTCTGCTCTGATGGAACCCAAGTTTCTATGGCTCGTTAGTATGATTTACTATTTCTTTTCAGTCTGAAGAATTCCAGTGCCCTTTTCCCTTTTGAAAGGTTTTTAAGTGTGCAGCTT